GGGGGGGGGGGATGAGGGGGTAGGAGAGGGTTTGGAAACTTATATATTAAGTGGCAGGCGAGTTCCGAGTCGTTTGATCTTGTGAAGATCAACGGCCAGGATCGCCTGGCATTTAAACGACGCCGTTTGGATTAGTGTGGGGCTGGGCGGATTCTAGGCATTGGGCTCGGGTGTTTTGGACTAGATTTTGGGGATTGGGCTGATTTTTACATTGGCCCAGTCCGATTTTAGGCTAATTAAACCCCATTTTGTTTAATTAACTTTTAAAAATCTATTTAATCTAAACAAATCCTAAATTATCTTAATTTGTAAAATTAAACCAACTATCTATTTGTATTATTTACATAATTAGTTAATCTTCAATTATTAAAAGGAAAAATTACTAATTTTAACACTTAAACTAAAAATATTAAAAATAAACCATTTTTGTGATTTTCTTCTAATAATATAATCAAATTATGTAATTAAGTACTAAATTCAATTAAAACCTAATAATGCTATATGATGAGGATTTAAATTTTTTTGTTGTTTTCTATGGTTTGAAAAAATGCTAAAAATGCATGAGAAATGCAACTAAATGCAAATAATTAACAAAAATCCTTAAGAAATCTAAAAAATAAAAAATAATTTATTTATTAATTTTGTAGGAATATTTTGGTACGGTAAAAATTACATGCTCACAGCTGCCCCTCTTTGCTCGGAAACGAAGAGTTTTCGGGCAAAGACAAAGTGAGCAGTCATGGACCAATTTTACCCGTTTTGATACTTCATGGGAAGCGTTTTGAAAATATTTGACCGAACCTTGCTTCAAAGGTTGCCTACATATCCTTGGCTATAAAAGAATAAGGTCAGTGTAGTTCTAGAGGTTTTGTTAGCTGGGATTACTGGAAAATTGTGATTTCACTTTGTTGCTGCTGTTACTGTTGCTGAACTCCGTATTACACCAAAGTAAAAAATGAAGAAAACTAACTAAGCCTATCAGATACGAGTTACAAGATTCCTATTTGTAAATTTTTCGAAGCTTGGTCTTGAGTCTTGGGTGGCTCTTTATGCAGACTCTGATCTGAATCTTGATGCTTGTTAGCTGTAGGTGTTGGTTCAATCTTCTTCATCTTTTCAGATCAAGATGGGACATGCAAAACTTGGGACTTCAATCTCGTCTTGAGCAGCCCATATCTTCTCCGCTTATGTACGTGGGTTTTTCTTTTTCTTCTTTTTTTTATTCTGGATTGAGACGTCTTCTTTTGGTCGTCTCGAACCCAGTACTTTAAGGTATAACCTGCTCAGGAATCAAAACAAACGAACGAAACTTTCTACCCCAGTATTTCTGTCTCAAATGGTGGGCATGTTCTTCTGCTCCCTTAGTTAGTTTTGTTTGAGCATCTAGCAAATCCTTTTCGATTTTTATCAAGTCAGCTGCATAGTCATGGACCTTCATTCTTAAGTTGTTGATGATCTTTTCATCTCTCTCGCTTCTTACAGGCGTTTCGGCGGCTATCCTCATATTTCGGAGTTGGGCTCGGAGCGCCTCATTCTCTCGAGTTAACTTTCTCTTTTCACCTTCAGCTACCTGCGCCTGCAAACCATTGTCAAATGCGAGGTTTCTCAATTTTTCCTCCAAGGCATGGATAGTGGCTTGATATTTCTTTCTTTTTCTCCCCAGGCCAACCGTTCTTGGATCTTGTCATCAAAAGCTTGAACATGAGGCCTTTTGGCAGGCCTTTCTGGCTCGGGCTCTGGTTCCTCATCAATGCAATTCCTTTTCTCGAACCATGTGGCATAGCCCGGATCTACTTCGCCTCTGGCAAGATCGGGTACTTGAGTATCAATTCAAGTATCGGCACCCATTCCAGATTTGTTGAATTAAAGCTTCGGGAAGTGGAGCTTCGGGATGTAACTCAATAACTTGGACACTCAACTCTTCATCCTTAGGTACTACTTGATATCTTCCCAATGGGGTGTATATGGTTGGACACTTCGCAAGCCCATCAATAGTAAATAATTCTTTGTGGCTGACATATATATAACTTCCCTCACCGGGAGCCATCCTAAAGTCCACTCAATCTGATTTGCCTTTAAAGCTCTCAAGTGGGCGATCCAAGATTCAACCCCTTCCGGGGACTTGTAGTCTTTCACTCTTTCTTCATAGTTTTCAATGAAGTTGCTCTTGCTTGGACCGTAGTTCATAAATTTCGAATGATGGCAAAGATGTTCAATTAACCAAATTTGTAGAAGAATGTTGCAACCTTCGAAGAATGTCGCCCCCGACTTACACCGCGTCAATGCCCGATAGAAATTCGACAATATTAGTGGAGCGAGTGTGTGATCTCCCTTGTCAGTTAGGACTTGTGCAATTCTAGCCATACGAATATCAACTATCCCCTTTTCATTTGGGAAGACTATGACACCCAGAAATGCCACGATGAAGGCAAAACGACGGTGAACTTTCCAAGTATCTTTGCTTTGTTTGTTGTTCAAACCTTTTTTATGCGTTTCAAATCCCTCTGGATGCCCATACCGGCAGTATAGGAAGTAGAATGAGCAGCTGCCCTCGTTCACACGATTCTTTCTTATTTGCTTACTGATGTTCATGATATTAAAGAAACGGCGCACTGACATGGGCCTCGGGAATATGAGCTGTTGATTTCTCAGACCCCGACCAAAACCTGTATACCCCGTTATTTCCTCCAAGGTGGGAGTGAGCTCGAAGTCTGAGAAGCGGAAGACATTACGGATAGGATCCCAAAAGGTCACTAAAGCCTTGATTAGATCATTTCGTGGCTTAACTTTCATGATATCGGTCAGAGCACCGAGATGTTCGACTACCCAGTCTTGACCCTATTTGTCTAAATCATACCACCACATTTGGAGCTGTAGCGGAACTTGCTCTACGGCATTCAATGGTGGATTCTGGACGGTATTCATTTTGTACCTGTGAGCGGGTAGGGTTAAGGTTGACTCTAATTTTGAAAGACAAGACCAGTAGAAGTAAAGGTGGATATTTGTGCAACCTCGACCAAAATGGTCATTTTGCAATAGTGGCCCCTTCATACTTTTGAAAAAAAGTTTTGAGGCCAAAGTAAGGCACTTTTCTAGGAAAAGTGATGATTTATTGACAGACACGTCCGTTCTTAGCGAAAATAGCCCTATGATAATTTAAAGGTATTCTAAGGCTATTCCGGTAAAAATGATGCAGGACTTAACCGAAGCTGGGTCGGTTTTATTTTTTGATCAATGGATATACTTTATTTATTTGATTAGAAAAATTGGGGTCGGCACCGATGAGGTTTGCCTATGTATCTCACATCCGGTGAGAATCAGACCCGCATAATTCGGCTAGTTTTGACATCATTACGTTCTTACTAGGGATCCGGCATGAGGCTATGCTATTCTAGGTTTAAACCTGGGGTGTGTTCAAGACATGGCTTACCCAAGCGGACAACCTGAGTCGAGGTGGAAGCGACGTACCGGGAGCACGAAAGTGTACCCGGCCTAGTGGTTGATCCATCCTCGTTCTATTTGGTATGACTTCTAACAGAAAAGTGGGCCACGCGTACGTGTGCACCATATTTTTAGAAGACTCGGAAGGGAGGCGTAAGAAGACAGTTTATACAGTTCAAATAATCAAAGCAGTAAATGAGAGGCAATTAGCACATTAGGCCCACAAAAACAGTAATATCAACAAACAATAAAGCCAAATACAGATTACATTACAAGCTCGAATTCTGAACCCTGAACCAGAGATTTTGGGTTCGATCCCCAGCAAGTCGCCAGAGCTGTCACACCTCCTTTTTCCCGAGGGAAATATGGGGTAAGGGAGTTTTTTCAATTGAAGTGACATTAATCGAAATGGGATTATTTATTTAATTGCAGAGTCGCCACTTGGAATAATTTATGGTGTCCCAAGTCACCAATTTATTTTAAATCCCAAATCGAGGAAGATTGACTCCATTATTAGTCTGCGAACACAGAAGATCGGGCAAGGAATTCTGTTAACCCGAGAGAAGGTGTGAGGCACTCCCTTATTTCGTGATTTTAACACGGTCTCTTTACAATCATATACCTGGCTTAATTAATTTGTTTAATTATGTATTTTAAACCTAAGTGCATTTTACCTTTTATTGCTCTTAATTTTGGCGTTTATGGATTTAATCTTTGAAACAGACTACATGTGTGTAAATCCGCTTTGTTGGGGGCACTAAAATCATGTCACGCAAACGTGTACACAATTAATTGCGCGTTATTAATTTAAGATTGTTTGGCCGAAGTTGCGCGAACGCATACCTCGATTTAATTTTGGATATCGGGATCACGTCACGGGACATGTACACAATTCACGATAGTAGTTTAAAATCCGCGCCTAAAGCATTTCTACAAGTGTTTAATTAAGGCGTTTTATTTACAAAAATTGTTTGACCATGGTCACACGAACATGTACCTTGGTTTGTTTTTGGCATCACAATTATGTCATGCGTGCGTGTACATAATTGTAATAATTAAGTTGATTATAAATACCTTAAGTTATGCTTATGTCTCTAAACTAAATACTCTATGTCATATGGCTAAGTATAAAGGTTCAATACTAGGTGATATATTTGTTTGAATCAATTGGGGCAGTTTATTTATTAACTCTAAACATGCCCAGATTTAAAAGTGCTTGGGGCCTGACAAGGGCTAAGTCCAAATGAACTCTAGCCCAATACATATATTATCCGTTATTGAATTTAGCTAAAGAATTCAGTTTGAAAAGGATTTGGGCCTGCTTGAGTTTAATTGACTCTGGCCCAATGCATATTTTAAGGCAGCTAAATGAATTCAGTCCAAAACAAATGATTTTGGGCCTAATGATCAAGGAGTCCAAATGACTCTGGCCTAGTACAATGTTATTAAGCATTCAATCAATTAAACACATTTAATTCAAGAAGGTTTGAGCCTAATAATGAGTCTGAATGACTCTGGCCCAATATCCATTTGTGGACAAATAAATAAAATTACTTAAAAAAAGATTTGGACCTGATGATAATGAGTCCAAGTGATTCTGGCCCAGTGCATATTTGTGTGAATGAGTTTGAGATTAAAATCTGAAATAACAATTATAAAATTTTGCCCATACTTTGTTTATCTTTTAAAGCAAAAGATTAAAGGGGACTGAGAACGTGAATCAAAAACTAAATTTGAATAATTTTTCCTACTGATTGCCTCAGTTTAAAACTTATTTGCATTTAAAAATTTAAAGTGAACGTTTCTAATCAAGTTGTTTGCTTAATTTAATGACTGAAACCTAAGATACAGTTCCATGGACCCAATTGGTTTGGGCCTGAAACTGTATTAGGGCCTGCTACTTAGTTGGCTTGTAAAAGCCTAGTTTTATGACCCAAAATTAATAAATTTTGAGTTGTTGTATTTAATTGTTTTAAACAGTATGATAAAACGAATAGTCTATTAAACTAATTTATCGCACAAGGAAATGCAGTAAAATTAAATTATTACATTTTTTATTAACTGGACAATGATAAACAAGCTGCCTATTATTATTCTATCAAATTTTCTAGAAATGATTTATGTGATACTATTGCATACAAACATACAGGTCTTATAAATACATGAAGCTTTAAACAAGTTTTATAATTTTTCAGAGCACTTTGACATTACAACTAATATACCTTAAACTGCCTAAAACGTTGTAAATAATTAACTCTAAATGAATTTACACACAATCTCTAACCATACAACTTTTACTAACATGATTTATGTAATAACTTAGCTTAAGCACAAACTCACATTCAAACCAACCACACACTTTGATAAACAGCAAAGGAAACATAATAATAACAAAAAATGGAAATTTCTACATTGTTAAGAAAGTACCTTGATAGCAGCAAGAGAAACAAAACAAACAGGAAAATAAGTCTCTGAACAAAGCTTGAAGCAAAGCAACCGCAATAAAATCCAGTAGAATAAGAAAGACGTCCAGATTTCAAAAATAGAAAAAAAGGAATGTATTTTTTGATTCTGAAAGATCAAGATTGATTTTCAGAAGTTTTTCTTTTTTGAAAGAAAAAAATCTTAAGGCAATGTAGAAACTATTTTTTTGTTTTGTTTTTGTGTATGTAAGTGTATTCGGATCTAGGTCTATATCTGTCTATATGTGTGTGTAGCTATTTCAGTCTCTCAAAATGTGTATTCATATATATCTAATGAAAAAAGAGGAGTGTATTTATAGAGTGAGGGAGTGAAAAGGGATCAGAATTAGGGTACAAAAGAATCTTCCAAAATTCCCATAAATTAGGAAAATGACATCTTTCTTAACAGAAATGGACATATGTCCAATTTCTAGTAACTTCCTTATCTCAGAAAATGGACAAGTGTCCAATTTCTGGATATTGTTGGATCTTATCCATATTTTCCTACTCAACATTGGGACAGTTGTCCATATTCTAGAAGTTTCTAGTATTTTCTAAATAATTTTCAGAATTAGGATTCCAAAACTAACCCTTAAAGGTTCTTGGAATTATCTCAGAACCAGATTGGTATCTGGTTCTGGGCCTGAGTCAGGTAACTCTGGGCCTAAGGACTTTGGGCTCTTAAGCTTTTTACAAAGATATTGGCCTGTCTATTCAGACAGGCCCAATTTATGAGCCAAGTAGAACGGGCCACTTCAGTGAGGCCAGTTCTTAACCAAACCAAACAACAGTAAAAATAAATAATAAAAAAACGACAATTAATTTAACAAAATAAATAACAAAGCAGTAATACTAAAAATAAACTCAGAACTAATAAAGNATAAATAAAATAAAGAAAGAAGGACAGTAATCGACACAAAATATAAAGATGAAAAACAGAAAATAATATAAAATATACCAAAAAATTAAATCTAGCCGCTAAAAACCCTCATGCCAAGACTCCCATCTGGGATCTGAGATCCTTGACGGGAGATCTTGGCAGGAGGATTATTAAACGGACTAGGTTGGATATAGGGTTTTGAAAAATAAATCTAGGGTTTCGGAGACCCTAAATCTAAGATCTATGATTATTGGTGGGGATTTTGGCTGGTAAAGTGAGGTTCAGGGAGGTGAGGAGAGTGTATAGGGTAAGTTTGGGTGGTTTTGGAAGTCCACCGCCGCCGTAGGGCGATTTCCTGCGGCGGCGTGGGAGGAGCATATTGGGGCGGCTAGGGTTTGGTTAGAGAGAGGTGAGAGACGGGGTCGTCTCTAGGGGGTTAGAGAGAGATGTAGAGGGGGGAGGGACGAAATGAGGGGGTAGGAGAGGGTTTGGACACTTATATATTAAGTGGCAGGCAAGTTGCGAGTCGTTGGATCTTTTGAAAATCAACGGCCAGTATCGCCTGGCATTTAAACGGCGTCGTTTGGATTAGTGTGGGGCTGGGCAGATTCTGGGTATTGGGCTCGGGTGATTTGGGCTAGATTTTGGGGATTGGGCTGGTTTTTACACTGGCCCAATCCGATTTTAGGCTAATTAAACCCCATTTTGTTTAATTAACTTTTATAAATCTGTTTAATTTAAACAATTCCTAAATTAAGTGCTAAATTATCTTAATTTGTAAAATTAAACCAACTATCTATTTGTATTATTTACACAATTAGTTAATCTTCAATTATTAAAATGAAAAATTACTAATTTTAACACTAAAACTAAAAATGTTAAAAATAAACTATTTTTGTGATTTTCTTCTAATAATATGATCAAATCATGTAATTAAGTACTAAATTCAATTAAAACCTAATAATGCTATATGATGAGGATTCAAATATTTTTGTTGTTTTCTATGATTTCAAAAAATGCTAAAAATGCATGAGAAATGCAACTAAATACAAATAATTTCAAATAATTAACAAAAATTCTAAAAAAATTTAAAAAAAATAAAAATAAATATGAATAATTTATTTATTAATTTTGTAGAAATATTTTGGTAGGGTAAAAATTACATGCTCACGGTACTAACATGAAATAATTGTATATTAGGCTATCATAATTCAATGTTTTGCAAGGCTTCTTCAACAGTATTGAAATTAGCATACTAATGTTTATTATATAGTTTAATGTATAGCCAAGAGAAATACTTATGTGTTCCTTCACTTTTGTCTTTTACATACTTATGTATGTAAAAAACTTTGTTTGGGAAAAGTGACCAATGAAGTATTTGAAAAATTAAGATATTCTTTTTTAAATCACGTGATGTGGAGAACAATCCTAATCCTACTTTAGGAAAGTTTAATTTCAAGTTGAGCTTGAGCAGATATGAATCAAATTTTTTACTAAGTTGAGTTCTTTTTGTTTCAGGATAAGTGTGCTAAGCAGATCTGATTCTATACTTTGATCATATTTTTTCCTTATATTTCTTGTGATTACAAGGGTAAATCTTTTAATTACAAACTACAATATGTCCAACAAGCTAGCTAGAGTACAATTCCTTCTGCTATTACATACAATACTACGGGCTCTATCATCTTACCAGCTTCATAAACACTTTTCAAATTATACCACATATTATACAATAAACTATATTTATAACACCAAAATCAGCCAACTCGGAACAAAGAGTGGCGATCCATCTTTTAGAACTTTTGAATTTCTACATTCACTTGGCATCTTTAGAATGCCGAAAGAAATCCAGGGCTTAGGGTATCTATATGAAACTTCATTTTAAACCTTCTAAGCGTCTGACTCTCTTACTCTGTTTCTATAAGACAACAATGGAAGAGGAAAATTTACTACCTATTTTGTCATTGTTTTTTGCCTACGACAGCATCCAAAAAAATAAGATGAGATACTGAATGGAGGTCGACCGATTGGACTATACATGATCAGGAAGGGATTAAAGTTATTTGCCTTCTTTGATTCGTGGGTGAATGCTGTGGAATATTTATGTTAGACAACAAATCTATAGTTGTACTTATTCTAGCACAAAGAGAGAAAATAGAGGATTGAAGAAAACAATAAGAAAAGAAGTATTTAGACCATATGGGAGTAAAAACCACTTACTTTTACTGGTTTGCTTTTTGCAGATTAGAATTGCATTGAGAGTTGATAAAAGTGCACTGAATTTTTATTTGAGAATCAATTTAGAAATTGATAGAAGAGTGGTGGTGTCGTTATTTCTTACTTTAGAAATAAAAATAGCGGTGCCCTATAATATTGCGTTGTTGATCCATCTCAATGTATATGTATCGTCTCTCTTTTTTCTTTGGGGGCTGGTTCCCTGTCCCAAAAGTGATTTATGGCCCAATTGGTCCCACATTTCAACAATAGCTCTCAAATTAATGCTTCTGTCACACGATAATATCTTCTTTAGCTAGATTGTCAGTCCGCGATGCTGCTCCGATTGCCGATCTACCTGGTGTGCTGAGATTGTATTAATTGGTAAGCTCTCTTCGCTGATTTAGTTCCTTGAGTGTTGATTTGTTCGATGAGAGGATATCTGCATGTGAGTTTTGTTTCTCCATTTTCCTTTTTTGTGCTTCACTCTTTTATTTTTCTTAAGTTGTGAGGGGATATGTTTATTATGGTATTTTGAATTGATCCAAAATATCAAATCTTTTTTCCCTAATTAGTTTTCGGTATATACACACACTTCATTTCATATAGTTAAGGATCAAACAAGAACTGATGGCATTTGATAAGTGATAATTATCATTTTTAAAACTCTTGCACAGCATGTGAAAAATTTTCCACTAGCCTCAAAAGCAGTAAAATTTAAATTAAGAACTCTCCCTGAAGCACCACTAAGGACAATAATATGGACATATCAAGAGACATCAGTTTGCAGCATCTTTAACCCAGGCATTCACATAGTTTGTCATTAGTAAGCTTTCAACAACAACAACAATTCCAGTGGAATTCCCAAGTGGGGTTTGGGGAGGGGGGTGTGTACGCAGACCTTACCCCTATCTATGAAGGTAGATAGGCTGTTTCCGAAAGACCCTCGACTCAAGAACGTAAAAAAAATAGAGCAATAGAGAAACAATAGCAACAACAATGTAATAAGACAATGTAGGCAAATAATATAACGAATAATGAAAGAGATCCAAGGAAATGAAACAACAAGATTAGTAAGCTTTTTTTGGAAAAACAAAAGGGATAGGCTTGTCGTTGGCAATATGCTTATCTCGATTTTATCCTTTAACATGTGTTTAAATACAACTCAAAATTTCTATTTTGAATGTTCCTTCATCTGCTTTATGCATTTCAAACCTTTTTGGTGTATCTCATCTTCTAACTGGTCATGATGAGAGTGGTCGTTGCTTGTAAGTATGCTTAGCCTATTTATTATTGTTAACATTTTGATCTTTTTACTATAAATTATTCGATTCAAATATGATAACTCACTGTTTATGTAATAGAAATAAAGCAATTGAAGTAGTTTTTGCAGAAGATTGAATCTACCTAGAAATTTCTAGTGTAACCTTGAAGTCTTCATTCAACATAGAAAGCAATTATGCCCATTCGTAGAGTAGGGCCAGATGATAGAAATAGAAACACCACTACTTGATCTCTCCTAAGTCACGGTATATGTGAGTATGGTTGTGATAATGATAGTGAATATATTTATCTTTGCTTCTATTGCAAATTTTAAATTTTAAATTTAGTGATTATCACTTTTCAATTTTACACAAATACCAAAAACAATGACGATAGTCTTCTCCATTGAAATAGGTTTAAGGTTCATATGCCTAAATAGGTCTTCCAAGGCTGTAAAATATTATTTCACTGCCTAGCTATCTAAGTTGCTCCGACATGGCAGTTTAGGTGCCGTGCCCGTGTCGACACGACACTAGTATGTGTGTGGGTATGGGATCCGTACCGGATCTGGTCAAATGATTTTGGATACTTTGACCACGACGGATGAAAAAATTTGAGACGATATACAATTTAATTCCCGAAATCAAAACCAAAATTAGGATAAATTTAAATAAAATAGCATACCTTATCAAGGAAATCAATCCTTTTATTATCTACAACTTGAGAATAAAAACGAAATTCATACTTTTACAAGCTATACATAAGTATTCTCCAAAATTTATCATAATTTATAAATATTTTTTATATTTTTATTTTTTGAATTATTTTTAGCCGGATCCTTACACCCGTATCCGTTCTAGGATCCGTATCCACGAATCTTAGAATTTACATCTCGAAGGATCAGACCTCTAGATCCGCACCTATGTCGGACACCTACACCCGTGTCCGAGCAACTTAGCTAGCTATAAATTACATATAAGAAGATACATAATTCAGCTGATTTAGAATATGCCTTTGATGGTGGCATTTCAATAGGTCTAGTGTGTCTTGAACAAATGAATATTGCATATTTTGTTACTCTCTCCGTTTCAATTTATGTGAACCTATTTGATTGGGCACGGAGTTTAAGAAAAGAAATAAGACTTTTGAATTTGTGGTGTAAAATGAAGCACATATATTTTGTGTGGCTATAAATCATTGCATAAAGGTAAATTGTTTCCAAACAGGGAAAGTGGTCATTCTTTTTAGCACGAACTAAAAAGGAAATAAGTTCACATAAATTGAAACTTTGGAGTATAATATTTAGTCGACAGTATTTTTTTTTGGGAGTAGTATGAAATTATCTTTCTTAGTGTGGAACCTATTTTCTGCAGTGTTGTTAGGCATGTGGCTGTGCACGGGTACAGACCATCTAGTCTACTATATATAAGTGAGTAAGATGGACGAACACTGCACATAGAAGTGATACAAAATGCTATTGTGAATTGTACTCCACTCAGTCAGAAAGACACACCTCTCAATCACACGTATATTCCACTCAGAAAGATTCACCCACTTTTTTTACACAGTTATGCTGCTTGCTCATCTCTCTTGAACCTTCTTACCTATTTTCAATTTTCTTCGAATTCCTTCTGCATCTTTGTGGTCTTCACTAAATTTCTCTCAAAGCTTTTCTATTTTGTGTATTTCTTCAAAGATTCTCCCTTTTGGCTTATTTTTTATCGTTTCGGTTCGAAGTTCTGGCAAGTTTTTTGTCTAATTAATCATTTGCTTTTATTGCACTTATTTGATGGTAGATTTTTGCTAGATTTACATATGTCAATAATTTTATCTAACCGGCACATGCATATCTTTTAATGTTTATTCATTTCTGAAATTACGATTCTCTTTCTCCTTCAGTGCTTTGAAGCATCAAATTTGTCGCTAGAAGATTAAGTCTTGACAATACGAGTAAGCACACTTCAGTATCGGTAGGCATACTTTCATGGTGTTCTGTATGTGTAAATGTTATAGTTAGTGATAGTTTCTGTCCTAATGTCTAATTTTATTTTATTATTGCTTTAAATTTCCAGTTATCTAATCTTTTTCTTTCTTAATTACTTGACATGATACAGATGACTCTAAGATGTTTGATGAAATGCCTGATAAAACATTAATGATTTTACCGGTAAATGAAACTTTTTAGGTCACTGCATTTGAAATTGGACATCATAGAAGATATGTAGTTGATGAACTTCGAGAAGAAAAAATTTCACTGTTTAAATTCATCTCTACTGATATTACACTATTATAATCACAACTGTAAAAGAAATCATGTCTTGTGTTTCGATAAAAAAAAAATTGCTAGCTATTGTGATTTTTGGTCTTTACTGCTTTCTCGCGGAAAATTACTTACATTACATTTCCGTCCCTAAACATGTTATATGCACATTTTCATGTTCAATATAGTTTCTGTGAAAAATATTTGTATTATCTTGCGAAAAAAGTAATAAAACAAAGGTCAATGAGGAACTAAGATGTCGTATGCAATATGCTGAATTCTTTTGGCATCAACAGTTGATGTTCTCTGATAGAATTTAATGAACAATCACCTCTTAAATTCATGAGTTTTCATATAGAATAGCGTAAAGAAATTGGATGCCAGGTACTTTTGCATCTATAGTTGACATTCTCTGATAGAATTTAAGCAAAACGATAATATTCTCTTACATTAATTAGTTTTCATACAAAATAAACTTGAGTACATATTTTTCAATGGTTATAACCATATTTGTTTTAGTTCTTCTGGTTTTTTTTACATATAGAAATCAAATAATCGTTTAGAAAATTGGAGCTACGTTCTTAGGATGGTGTCTTAAGTTTTAGTGTCTTGCAGCATGGAGATCATAACTCTTGGGGATAAAAGGATAGGCATGAAAACAAGTGTACTAGAGGAGAAGGAGAGCAACTTGTTATATGCTTTAATTTTTCCGTATTTCATATGTGCTATTGAGTGAAATCTCTTTTCTGATGAGGAGTTAAGACAAGTGATGTTAATGCTTAAAAAAGGTGGTCTGACATTAGTTCCACTTCTGATATTTTATTTTTCTAGAACTTTTTCAATTATGATTATGACATTGTGTAGTGGTTTAAAACCGTCCCAGAGTTGTTATGATATACCAAACTAATTAGAGAAAGGAATAGTGCAAGGCGTGAGACTTATGTCAAGCAGTTTATTCAGGTATATAAAAAGAGGTTAACTACTAGTTGAAACTGTTTTTTTTTTTTAAAGGATAAGGTATTGGTGCACTTGATTACTCAAAATAAAGGATATTTACAACGCTCTACTTCGAATCCTGAATCATGATGTTTTTGAGTGAAAAATATAGATTGGAGAGGGCTTTAAGTTTTCACTACATTAGTCTTCATCCATTCACAAAGTTTTTTATGCATTTCATGATCTATATGGTGATATGTCCTACACTATTTAAAGATCAGAGAGAATGCAGCTTCACTCAAATAAAGTAAACCATTTAGTATTTAATGATATCTAAATCCTCAATATATATGTGCATCTCATCGCATAAAATGTTGATGAAATGAATCTACCTACTTTTCAGGATATAATATATGTTTCAATATCTTTACAACCAACAAGGAACTCATAACTCCAATTTCACCTGTATTACTTGAAGATGCAGCAGAACTATCCGTGAACACTTACAAGTCTAATAGCATGTTTGGCCAAGCTTCTCCAAGTTCAAAAACATTTTTTTTCTTCAAAAAAAGTATTATTTTTCTAAATTTGAAGTGTTTGGCCAAGCTTTTAGGAAAAAAAAAAGTGCTTTCGAGGAGAAGTAGAAGCAGTTTTGGAGACGCAGAAAAAAGTAGCTTCTTCCCAAAAACACTTTTTTGAGAAGCACTTTTGAGAAAAATACACTTAGAATCATTTTTTAAAAGCTTGGTCAAACACTAATTGCTGCTTAGAAGTACGTTTTAAATTAATTAGCCAAACACAAACTGATTCTCATCAAAAGTACTTTTGAAAAAGCACTTTTGAGAAAAAGCACTTATCAAAATAAGCTGATTTTTTGGCCAAACGGGCTATAAAGAACAATACAAAAATGTATCTGGTGAAGAAAAAAAAAAAGCTAAATACCTAATTGGTGTGGCAATCTTAGCCATTGATGCGAATCTGACTGTAAGGACTTGATGTCACTGTATGTGATTCTATTTTATCTTGGTACTTGGGGTGGATACCTTTGAGTTGTGGTTGTATTGGGTGCGGATTTTGATGCAAAAATCAAGGGTGTCATGTTCGTTTGTCCTTGTGTCATGTTCATTTGTCCTTTCTCAAGACTCTTCATGTTCCTTTATACCTCTTCTTAAGAGTCAAAGTTGGGGTCCTGGAAGCGATGTCATTGAGTTTCAATATTTGCTAAAAGTGAGAGCAAGAGTAACTGATTCAAGAAAGAGAACTTGGAGTCACAAACTCATCAAAGATGTAGCGAAAACCTGTCCAATTTGACATTGACTCATTAAATCTTTCATGTTTTTTCTGCTCATTCTTTTCCTTGTGTGATAGTTAGCTTCTTAGAGTAATTTGAAAATATCACTATTTACTTTCAGGGCTTGCTAATACTGAAGCTCCTCGCTGCCTTTGCCAATCCATAATATTGGTGCCTGTTATGTTTTAGTTGTCTACTTTAACTAATGTCTATTCAAGAGTTGATTATCTCTTTGAAATAACATGAAGCAACATTTTTAAGTTAACAATTGTTTATAGTTTTGTTTTAAGTGTTACTATCTTTCCTGCATTCATTTGAATTACTATATTGATGATGATAATGTTCTATAATCTTTTTTAACATAATTCTTACTGTGAGATTGATGTTATTACCTTTTCTTAAGGGTGATATACAGCTTTTCCTCAACTGCTTTTTGATGACTATAAAGGTGGTCGTTTATTAAGATAGAGTGTGGTTATGACCTTAATATTATGAGGTTATCAACAATATATGACAAGGTTAAAATAGTTAGAAGAGATTATTTGTACGAATACATAGAGGAATATATTACTACTTGCATTTACGTTTTCAGTAGGTGAGTAACTTTATCCTCGATGACCGCTATCTCATATAATGTGACAACCATAGTCCACATATAGCTGAGAAAGTTCTTATATTATTCTGTATTAACAAGTTCCTTGCAATGTTTAAGGGTACATATTCTACCGTGGTTTCTTTCTCTCTCCAGGATAGAGAAACTGGTTGTGGTGTGTTATTCCTAAACGTGTTGTACAGTTAGCCACTTTAGCGCAACCAGGAGTGGATCGGAGATGGCGGATGTTGCTCAACCCTGCAATTACAAGACTTGGATGTTTCTAAATCAATCAATTACAAGACTCCATTCTACAACCAAGATACTCCTTCCCATTATACCAATTGATCTTACACATCGATGTGCTTGAAGATATGGAGAGTCTTCCATGTTAACTTTTTTGGTACCAAACAATCGGCCATGGCCACAATGTTGTAATTCAAGGTCCAACTCGTTTGCATGTCCTGTAGTGTATGTTTGATATTTGGCAATTCTTTTGTAGAACACAACTCGATCGGAACTAATTCTTATGACCTAATTGCGTATGTGCAGAAGATGCATGTTCTGCACATGTTATACTGGAAGGTTCTTTTGTTTCCTGTTTTGATTTCAATTTGAATGATGTCTATGTTGCACATTATGAACAGAAAGACAAGTTAGTAGTTTAAATTGAATTATTAAAGTAGTACCTCAAAACACTTATGGAATAGTTAGCCTATACTGGGCCCGTGCCTTCTCTAGTAGATTAAGAGTAATAGATAATATATTTATAATGAGTAATAGATGAAAATACTTTTATTTTTAATACACTCAATGTCAATTACTATTATTTATTACGTACTTACTCCACAAAAAAGTCTTTTCATAGAACTTTTGATCAACTTATTCTTAGTTATGATGGATTCATGGTAAAGATACTCCAAAAACTAAAGGAAGAAAAATTATACAGGACCTATAATAAACAAAATCAATATCAATTTAATTTTTTTTATTTCAACTCTTTATTTACCGTTCAATTTCACACCATAAAGAAAGTATAGGTTAACGGAAGTTTCTAGGTTAGGCTTTTATATATTACTTAATTACTATATTTATCTAATAGCTCTATAAGGTAAAATTTTAATTGATATTTAAGTTCAAAATATTCAGTTTTCCTACATAATAGTTCCAAAAAAGGTAATTATTTAATATGCAAGATTTTAGTTGATTTTAAAATCGTAAATATTAGAATAATTAAATTACTATTTTTTATAATGTAAAATCGATTTTTTAAAGGGCAAAAAAGGCGAATGGCATTTCGATAGTTCATCACATTGGACATAATTGCAATTGAAGTTATATTTCTAATATTTAGGACTTTGAGATCAAATAAAATTTTATTTATTAAATTATTAATATGTTAAAAAAATCCTAATATTTAAGAATTTACAATTTATTAAAAGTTTTACCTTATATAAATATTTTTCTAGAATTTCGGTACCATATCTTTAGTTTTAGGACACCCAAAGAATTTACTACAAATTATTAATATTTTAAGCATCACTATATCTTTTTCGGCAATTATAACTAATACCTAACTGAATAACCTAATTGTCTATTTTTATTTATCTCTACATATCTAACCATGGCGAATTATAATATACATGGTTATTAAGACAAAAGCAATATCCATATGATATTCTAATTTCAGATTACTAATAGCTTCTTTGGGAGTGTTCATGTGCTAACAACGTGTTTGAGTTTGATTATATTCGGGACTGGGTCAAAGTGGGTGACTCTCAACAACGGTTATAGTGGGTTCAAGAACTAAGTGTAGTGCCTAAGGATTTTAGGTCCGTTGTGTGGTTAAGGATCGAGTTTTTGCAGTGGGTTATGAAAGGGACTTGGAGTGTTCTATGTTATCATCGGGTCTGCGGTGCAGTATTGTAGAAATGGGAGAGAAAAACTTCGGATTCGTAGAGGATCTTTCAGAATGGGTGTACCAGTTGGAGATGCTATTATGCGCATGAGGAGCTATGAGATGGTTCATGGGTATTGAGATGATGTGGTCTCGTGGATTGGGTCACTCGAAAGGAGTATTGTTGAGTTTCGTTATGTTCTTGAATGGAGCTATTATTATTTCTAAGGCAAGTCAAGAGTAAATTGAAGGAAGTTAGGTCGGTTAGTAATGGTTGAATCAACATGATTGTGGCAATGGTCAGTTCCTTCGGCGTGTTAAGTTATACAGGTGGTTTGTAGTTGTACCTGCGGGCTTGACATCCACCATAATTTGACTGATTTGGGAGGTATTTGATTCAAATGGCCTTGTTGTGTAAATGGATTTCCGGAAGAGTTTTGGCGGTTTAGACCATGATATAAGGTTTGTATTTTCTACGGTTTTGAGAATTCAGTCGCGTGTTGCAATAGTTCTTCAAAAATGAGTAAAGTGAAAAGTTTCTAGGTGATGAAGTGTTTATTCTTTTGGTGGTTAAGGAGTTATGATGAAATTCTGGTACTCTCGTGTACCGGCATGGTAAGTGCAGCAGGCGGTATGGAAATTTAGAGATTGAAGACCAAAGTCGAGTTTTGGTATTGATAAGAATGTCACGAGCTCGAAGGAGCGGGTGAAGATTTAAGATGTTCAGAGTATGCTGGCATTATTTTCGGGCAGTCTGAGGATGGTCTGGTTGGGAAAGAAGTGTTGGGTATTGAAATGCGGCTACTTGACTAGCACTATAGATGTACCATGGTCGATGGCCATTGATGTTCAGATTTTACTACATGGTGTGGAATGTTGTGGAGGTATATCCCATTAGATGATCGTATAAATGTGACGTGTTAGTCATTCGATTGTTAGAGATTTAAATCAGGTATGTAGATTTTGGTACTCTCGCCAATGGGAGAGGTTATGATCGGGAGGCGCTCTATTCCTTTGGTTATGGACTGTGTGAGTTTGTTCCGGACTTGACGGTTGTCCTTATGTGTCATGAATAGGGCCATTGTGGATCCTTGAAGGGTTGTTGGCCCAGTATGGGATGATCGAAATCAGCTTGGGGTCTGTTAGTGGGTCTAATGTGAATGTGTGCTCTATATCAGGTCGGATGTGTTCATTCGGCATAGCATTGTTTAAGGAGGAGTTTTCGAGCATTGGATGTTATTCCCGTAGTTAGCTATTCCATGTAATACTCTATTATGCCATGTGGGTTATGAGACGACTTGATTATTCGCACATGTGTTGTGATCCCCTATAGCTTGTGGTGTTATATAAGCAAGATGATTCTCGAGATACATGTCATCTATTGCGCCTTAGTCGTGCTTGGGTTTTGTAGCGTATGGCGCTATCCGTCGCCCTATGTATTGTATTATGAACTTGGCGTGCTTGTGGTTGATATTCGGGTATTTCATAAGTATAAGCATTACGGCTTGTTGGGTGTTTCCTTACTAATTGTTATGTTTGGATCGGGTGGCATGCCGCCACAGATACGTTATTTAGATCGGGTGGCACGCCGCCACAGGTATGTTGTGTGGATCGGGTTGCACACCGCAACAGTCATGTTTGGATCAGGTTGCAGGTCGCAACAATATCATAACTGGATCGGATTGCATGCCGTAACAGTGAGATGTTGAGTACGGTTCCCTATATCCATTCTTGTATATTTTGTTTCTCATTCTCTAAGAAAGGTTTATAGCATCTTTTCGGCTGTGTTATTTATTACGCGGCTGGGTAGTTCCTTTACAGAGTTTGTTCTTCCTTATGTGTCATATTCCAGTTGTAGCTTGTTGGCGCATTGATGGCTTCATATGAGATCTTGGTCGGTGTTCGAGGTAGCTTATTGCCCGAGCCGCTTGTACTGGGTGAGACAAGGTTATTGGACCTAAAATCGGTGCAATCAGATTTATGCAAGGTGTATTAAAGAGAAAATGTCACTATTCGGTTCAGAATAAGGTAACAGTTCTTGTCGAGCGGAGAAACTCCGTGAGTTATTGATTTGATGGGTGGTTATGAGTTCCTGCGCATCTCTTTCATCGTTGCAGTATTGTGAGGATTGAAACCGGTTTTATATATGTTATGAGGTATACTACGGGCGTCAGGTTCGTGAATTTGCAACTGTTGAGCTGGAGGAGGTTGCCTTGGGAAAATGAGTATGTGGTGCGTTATGTGATGTCAGCATGGGTGCATGATCATATGTGGGTTTGTGGAGATTGATACGGTGCCCGTATGTTAGAATCGGGTCTTGTAGAGAAACTCAGAGGTCGAAATTTGGTTCTAAGGCTTATTGACTAAATAAAAAGGAGGATCTTTAGTCTGGCTCGAGCTAATATACTCAACTGGGTTGTGGTGGCACACGTAGATGCACAAGGTGTTGAACAGTGATTTTGGGACAACTCCGGAGCAGTTCTTAGCACGTTCGAGGACAAACACATGTTTAAGTGGTGGAGAATGTAACGACCCGACCGGTTGTTTTGAGCTCTAGCATGTCGTTCGATAGTTTGAGGTCTCGAGTTGCTTCACTTCACATTTTACGACTTATATGCGTGGCCGGAATTGAATTTTGGGAAGTTCGGAGTGGTTTCGGAAGGAAAATACTAAATTCGGAAGCTTTAAGTTAGAAGAGTTGACTAAGGTTTGACTTTTGAGTAAACAACCTCGGAATCTGGATTTGAAACTTCCAATAGGTTCGTATGATGATTTCGGACTTGGGCGTATATTCGGGTTGAGTGTTGGGTGGTCCGGGAGCATTTCAGTGTCTATTATGGAAGGTTGGCATTTTGAAAGTTTAAGAATTTCTTGAGTTTGATTTAGAATGAATTTTGGTGTTATCAATGTCTGTTTGAAGTTTCGAGCCTTGGAATAGGTTTGTATCGTGATTTGTGACTTGCACGCAAAATTTGGCATCATTTCGGGATGTTTAAGCATAATTCGGATACGTTCGATAAAGTTTGAATGTTTGAAAGATTAAAGAAGGGTTTCGATCGTCGATTCATAGTTTTAATGCTGTTGGCGTAATTTGAGATTTCAACTAAGTTCGTGTCATATTTTGGGATGCGTTGGTATGGCTGGATGGAGTCCCGGGGGCCCCGGGTGCGAATCGGATTGAAAACGGATCAAGTTTGGACTTGGAAGAAGTGTTGAGGCAGTTGAGATCTGGTGCAATCGTACCTGCGTGGGAAGTGGTCGCATGTGCGGTCACGCAGGTGCGTAGGGGCCATTGAAGGTGCAATTTTGGTTGAAGGGACCTGGGGGCGCAGGTGCGAGGAAATTCCGCAAATGTGAAGTTGCAGATGCGGAGAAGTGATCGCAGAAGCGGAGAGGAGCTGGGCAAGGGTGGAGTCGCAAAAGCAGAAGAGTTTCGCATGTGCAAGCGCGCAAGAGCGAAGGTTGGATCGCAAAAGTGGTCACACAGGAGCGGAATTTGGTCCACAGAAGTGGATTTGCCTGGGCTTAGGGAGAACCTCACCTGCGATTTGTCCGCAGGTGCACAACCGCGCCTAGGTTCGTTAGTGCAAAAGTCGCTGGGCAGTGGGCTGCTTTTATTCCGAGACTTAGCCCATTTCTCTCACATTTTTATTTGGTTGGGATATTTTTGGAGCTCTTGGAGGGAAGATTTTCGTCATCCATGTCAAGGTAAGTAATTTCCGCATATTATGAGTTAAATACAT